TATGTTGTTATAAAATACATATTATAAATGAGATAAAACACTTACTTTTGGCGTTTCCCTTTTAAAAAGAAACCTCCTCGTCTGTTCCGGATCTCGAATGGAAGGAAATGTCCTTGAGAAAGTTTAGGCGCACACAGCACATAAATATCGTTACAAAAAATATGATGTTACAAAACAGAATTTGTGCATGATTAAACACTTAATTTCTGTGTTTTCCGTCCTCATATGCTCCACATCCCAAGTCAAAGAAAATGGCGTCTGTGTGAAATTTTTAAGCTGGTTTTAGGCGCGCACAGAGCGTAAATGTCCCGTATGTAACTAATAACACACAGGCTGCGTCCGAAAGCCTAGGCAGCTGATTTGCCTCACTGCCCTATAAGGCAATGACTTTGCAGGTAGCGTTTTTGCACGAAGGCATCTCATTAAACTGATTTCGGACAGGCTTTATGAAACGGTTTAAACTGTTTAATGATGTATAGAACAACAAAATAGAATGAGTTTTGGTGATAACTAAACAAATATTTAATTACTATAATACTGATTTCTCGCTAGAACTAACATCATAGTGCAAAAAGTTAGTCAGAAATATACATTCGCACACAAACTGACCACCAAACGCAACATTCAGACGCAATCTTAATTTTTTTGTTCAACCATCTCGGAATGGAATGCACAGGATTGTGGAATATCAAAGGCAGTGAAGGGTAAGAAAATGGCTGCGTCCGAAAGCTCTAAAATGCTGCCTTCGGAGGCAGCATTCCAAGGCAGGAAGGCATCAAGGCATGTCTGAATCCAAATTCTGCTTCATTTCATGTCTCCAGACTCCAGAGGTACCTTCTGATCGAATTTTGAAGGCAGCATAGATGTATCCTTCACTGCCTTTGATATCCCACAATCCTGTGTGTTCCATTCCATTTCCGTGACGGCTGAGCTAAAAAAAATAAAGATGGCGTCTGAAAGTTGCGTTTGGTGGTCATGTTGTGTGTAAATGTATATTTCTGACTAACTTTTTGCACTTTTGATGTTATTTCTAGCAAGAAATCAGCATTATAGTAATTAAATATTCGTTTAGTTATCAAAATTTTTTTTCTATTTTGTTGTAGATCATTAAACCGTTATGCTGCCTCAGAAGCCTGTCCGAAATCAGTTTCATGAGGTGCCTTCGTTGTCTCATACGGCAGCAAGTCAGCTGCCTAAGTTTTCGGATGCAGTCAATCTCTGAGGATACATCTATTCAAAAATCGTTCAGATGAAGGTATCTCATGTGACAGGAAGTGATGCTAACTTTGTATTCGGACGTGCCTTGATGCCTGAATGTGTCCTACGAAGGCAGCATTTTAGAGCTTTCGGACGCAGCAAAAGTGTTAATGAAGTTTAACCCTCCGTATTTACACTGGTCAGAGGGTGCTGTTCACACTAGTTAGTGTTAATCCCTTAAAATTCAACACCAGAACTTTAACTCTTTACTCTAACAGTCCTTAACACCAGGATTTCAACACTGGAGATTTTACTGTGTTGGCTGCTGATAATTCTAAGTCCTAAGAGGCCATGGATTATTAATATTTTTATTATTTTGTTTTCTCGTGATCACAACTTACACTCTTAAAAATAAAGGTGCTTCAAAAGGTTCTTCAAGCGATGCCATAGAAGAACCATTTTTGGTTCCACAAAGAACCATTCAGTCAAAGGTTCTTTAAAGAACCATCTCTTTCTTACCTTTTTATAATCTGAAGAACCTTCTTTCGCCACAAAGAACCTTTTGTGAAACAGAAAGGTTCTTCAGATGTTAAAGGTTCTTTATGGAACCATTTAGACAAAAAGGTTCTTCTATGGCATCGTGAAGCACCTTTATTTTTAAGAGTGTAATCTGCTCGTGATCTCGACATAACGAAAGTTGTTGTTTTTTTTACAATGATTGTTTGATTTGTTTGATCTACTGTTGCTAAAGTTGTATGTTGTGAATATTTCAGCAAGTTTTGCTTCGCTTAGTAATAACGTATACAATAGTCAACATGAATAATCACTGTTGATATTTTTTCCAGAGACAGTACGCTAAATATTTTGTTTGTGTAATAAATATAATATACTGTGACTGTGCATTACAAGCTTGGGATGCTGTTTGAAAATATACATCTTATCAATATACATTTAATGATAAACAATAGATTAAAAATAAGGAAAGGATGCATATTACAAATACGTCGTTGAAGCGTGTCCTAGATAAACACAACATCCCTGCTTATTAACTAACAATCATGCACTTCAAAGATGCACAAATAAAATACAGTGAAGTCACAGTTTATGACACAGAACGCTTGTGGTGGTGAAACTGTGATGAGTCATCTAGCAAGAACTTAACGATACACAAAATAGTAATATTGATTCAAGCCTTTAACATTTAGTAATGATTTAAATGTCAGTAATAAACAATACTGCACAATTATAGCGATCACGAAGAAGAAGCCATTATTCTGTCCCAAACACGTACAGTAAAGTGGATATACAGTAATAGGCCTATACAACACCCCATCAGTTATATTCCAGTCTATACTCCCACCTGTTGTGTAACTTAGAGAAAATTAAGTCGTGATAACGAGAAAATAACTTTTATTATGTCGTGATTATGAGAAAACAAGAAAGAAAAAAATAGGACTTCCGTAAAATTCAGCTTAGCCTTATATCAAAATATATATAAAGTATATTAAAATAGAAACAATTTTAAATGGTAATAATAGTTCACAGTATTACCGTTTTTACTGCATTTTTGATCAAATAAACGCAGCATGGGTGAGCATAAGATATTTCTACATCTATCCATGCATCATCTTACATAATATAAGAAATGTTTCTTGAGCACAGTAAGCTAAGAGTCAGTGGCAGGTGATGGTGCTCATATTTCAGCTGCTGAATCTACAGCTGGATTTAATCTAGTCTAATACCTCACATTCCACAAACTCGCAACTGTAGCAGACACACTAGAGAGAGTAGCGCCCATAAACACACATCAGATAGCTGTTCACATGCCAATACAGAAGATTACTGCCATTACTAGACATTGTATGTTGCTTCTTTCAAGTCAGGCAGGCCTAAAGCACTTAAAGCAACTAAGATTCTGAAGGAGCCTGGCTATTTTTTGTCTTATTCCAGTAGGAATTTAGTGCTTTAAGTATGGTGATTAATAGAGTTTAGATAACATTTTATTGTGTCATGGACCATCAAAAACAGCAAGAACTGCTTGTACAAAAATAATGTAAACTTCACATCTTGTTTTTTTTTCCGGTTTTATTTTTTTTTCTCGAATTAGTAGGCCTTCAAAAATGGTATGCAGTGGTGCCCTCTAGTGACAAGCTGTGCACGGTGTTTTTTTCTATGCACAAATCTTTCAGATTCTAAACTGCGCCCTCTAGTTACGAACGGCATACTGCGCTTCCTACTGACATAATATACACAGCGCCCTCTACTGACTGTTAAAGAAATCAAAAGTGAAAATAAAAATATTTCTCATCTCTCTGCCTGATTATTAATTTATTCAAAGCAAGGGAGGTGCATACTTTCCTGTCCTTCTCTATAAAGGACTAAAACAGTTACTAAAACAGTCAAGGAGAAATGCATATCACTATAAAATATAAACAAGTACAAAATGTATACTGACTTTACGGATCGCTGTTCTTTAAATGAATTGGGGGAAAAGCTCCTGTTTGAACAAGCCTGTTTGGTCCGTTTAAATAGATTAATAGAACAGATACATTTAAACTTAGATGCTTCTATCAAATATGTGGATTATTATGTCACTTTCAGTGTTTTTTAAATGCCCCTGTATGTATTACAAGACGTCTTATTAATAATAATAATTAAAAAAATTAAAAATAAAACGCCGAGGATACTTTAGTGTGTTTTATCCATATTGGTCGGTCATTTACAGTATTTTTCCACTGGATACACACCTTGATTGAATCAATACATGCCTACATGTAACTAAACAATCTAAATGTAACTCTAAACTAAATATAACTATATTTCCTTTACTTTATCAACACGTGGTCACTGAAAGACCAAAAATAGTAAATGCAACGGAACAAGAAATATCACACATAGGAAAAGCAGAACATTTATGCAGGTTAAAAAGAGAGCTTATGAATGACTTCTCTTGAGACAGTCCTTACAGATTGAGATGAAATCACACCATGCTGTTCAACCGAGGAACCGCAATCAGTTGTCAAAGATGAAACTGTGGCGTCTTCAGGTGGCAGGACAACATTATCAAGTTCAGTACAATCCACAACCTGACCAGGCCTCAGCGCTGTGATTGGAATACTAGCATACTACACTAGCATACTATACTAGCATTATTTCACTATATGTATGCTTTAAACAGTAATGTGCACACGTGATGTGGATGCACAAAATACAAATTTTGTATTTTTAATCCAGTTTTGTATCAAATGTCTTAACATGTGGCAGACTGGTCAAATAATGAGGTATTAGTAATGGCTTATTCAAGACAAGTATAAATTAATTCCAGTTCATGCATTACACAGGGAATAGAATGTCAAGCACATTGCATTGTGGGATATAGTGTTATACAAAGTAAGCTATACTGTGCACAGTACAATTACTATATACTGCAATATTAGTAAGACTAGTAGGATGCTTTTCTGAATATAAGCAGTGACAGTATAGCAGACGGCTAGAAAAGTGTTCACTCAACATTTTCAACTGGTCTACGTTTTATAAACGTTTTCTTAAAAACATTTGATTAACTGAAGGGATATGAGAGAAATATTCCTCATAACAACTTGCTTTCTGTACGTTATCTCTTTGAAAATAGGTTATGTCGTAGACGGTGTCTGTAAATATGTATAGAGAAAAAAAATCCTCAGAACATCTTGCTTTCTGCTTGTTACCCTTTTTGAAAATAATGCAAAGCCAATGATGCAGTTTAGAGCAAGTAAAAACATAAACGATCAAAAATTAAAGTACACAACAGTCGATTTTCCTGTATTATTTTTATTCAATTTTAATTAGGACTAGTCTTTTTCATCACAAATCCCATTACAGATGCTTAACTGGTCAAATGTATTACAAAAATAAAATGCTTTTATGTTAATTTTACTAGTTAACAAATTACCTTTATGCTTCAACATCAAGCATATTATAGTTCAAATCAAAAACATGCATTTTGTCCCTGCATTTCACCTTTATAGTCAAGATTTTACTGTCTGTCACAGCTGCCACAGTTCAAAGCACAGAGAAAAACCCCACTACAAGACAGTGATTTCCACATATGGTGATAGAGAAAAGAATCTTTCCATTTAAGATCATGCAAATACATTGCACCAAGGCCCACGCCCATTTATCTTCACTCGAACACAGGAACAGACACTGACAAAAGCATTGCTCAGCTCCAGCAAAATACCACTAGGTTTAATGTGGGTAATGAATGTGATTACTCTGGGGAATCGTTCACCCGGTACGCCCCTGTGGCATCAAATACCAAGGCCTGGCTTAATGATCCTTTGCAGAGCAAAAGTATGTTATCTTTGGCTTCGAGGTTACAACACAATGGGTTTGTAAGAAGACCTGTGAGGGACTGTAAAGCTAACACTTCATTTCCCCTCCAGAATACTTTTGCACTAATACAATTCTAAGGGAAAGATGAACATCAATTTAGTGTCACTTCATGGGGTCAAGGTAACGCACTTTTGCTAAACCAAATTGAATAAATCTCAGTTAAACTGACCTTGCAATAGGCATGAAGAAAAACTTGGACGAAAACAAAATAGTTATTTTGAAACTTTTAGTTGTTTGAGTGGGAATCCTGTGATTAAACAGACATGACATAATGTTCCTCTTTGTTTTTCTCCTTAAAATGAAACTATCGTATTAAGGACTAGAAAGGACAGTGAGACTTGTGGCAAAGAAAAAACAAAACAAAATGCATATTTCTAGAATCCACACGACACTCAGCACAAAACATTTCAGCACTCAAGTGAGGTGACCTTCCCTGGCAGGAACCATGGAGTTCCTTGGATTTGTGACTTGTGTGAGCCCTTTGAAAATGTAAGGGCCTCCTGATGCCCTGAATTAAACTATTGATATATATTATTTCTTATTCACTGTTTACACTTACAGTCAAACAACAAACAAGGCTTTTAATTAGCTAGTACGGTGTAGTCTTTGAAAAATGTCCAGACGGAAAGTTGGAGAAAGGCAGTAGCTGATAGTCTCTTCAACTTCCTGAACACGGCGCTGAAAACGACAGCGGTCCCTGGCGATTTCCTCCCAGGGTCCATGACGGTCCTCATCGCTGCTGGCATAGAACTCCTCGACCTCCTCTACAAATGTCACCTGTGAAAGGAATGTTTTAATTAAGTTTTATCTACTGTTCAAGTTATTATTACATATTATACATATTTTATGAGCTGTGCATTCTGCGTTATTAAAACTTAGCGACCAATGAACAGTCTATACATTCTTAAAAGCAATCAAATGAGTGACAGCAACTAATAAACTAAAGGAATAATTATATTTAAATCAAAAAGGCCCTGTCAACTTCAGAATATAAACTGTGCAAATTAACATGGCAGCCAATCTCATCCTTGCTTTGCAATAGATTCACAGTGAAATTAACACCCAGTGCTCCTATTTCTCCTCCCTTTTCAAGACTCACCCTTTCACTGTTGCGAAGTAACATGTGATCCCCCCTAAACTGTTGATATATATAATGTGTGAGTGAGTATATGATTGCTCTAAGTGGATCTGATCTCTGATCTGAGTGGTTGGGAGTGCCATCACCCCAGACCAAATCGAATGACTCTGACTAGTGTGATGCCAGAGTCATGGAACACTATAAAATGATAATGAGTAATGGGCAGAGCACGAACTCAGTCTCCCTGGAGACAGCAAAATGGAACCATTGCATCAGATCATCACATGCAGGGGAGGAAAGAAAAAAAAAGTAGAAAATGATATTGCATGGCTTTACATCATTTTCTCAAGCTGGCCTATACTGCCATATTGTGAAGGAATGGAAATAAGGCAGAACGGCAGCGAGAAAGAAGATTAACAGTTGCTACCAGTCATCGCATAGAATAAAAGATTATTATCATCCATATAAATACATTATTGCTGGACTGATGACGACCTAAGGCCATTAACCATTATTCCAAATATATGAAAGGCACAAACTATTTTGTATATTCTCTTAATCTATTCTTATTTTACTATTATTCAGTTTCCTTTCTTGGCAACACTATAATTAGGTGTAATTCATAAATATTAGTTAATGCAACAGGTGTCAAGAAATAACAACGGGCAACAATTTCTACAAAATGTATTAATCTAGATTAATGTTAATGTATTAATATATTATTCTTCACTGTTAGCCTAATTCATGTTGACTAACTAGAAATGTAAAAAATGAATTATGTAAAGTATCATTCAAATGTTTGCGATCCGTACGAATGTGTTTTTTTTTTTTTTTAAAGATGTCGTTCACCGAGGCAGCATTTATTTGATCAAAAATAAAGTAAAAACAGTAATAGTGAAATATTATGGCACTTTAAAATAACTTTTCTATTTTAATATATTTTATAAACTAATTTATTCCTGATGTCAAAGCTGATTTTCAGCAGCCATTACTCGTCTTCAGTGTCACATGATCCTTCAGAAATCATTCTAAATTAATATGCTGATTTAGTGCTTAAGAAACTTTTTGTTTTCTCCAATGTTGAAAACAGTTGCTTCATATTTTGTGGAAATCATGAGAAGTTTTTTTCAGGACTCTTTGGTGGGTAGAAAGTTCAAAAGAACATAATTTTTTTTTACATGGATATCTTTTGTAACATTATAAAATGTCTTTACTAACACTTTATCAATTTAATGCATCCTTGTTGAATAGAACCATTCATTTCTTAAATAAAAGTCTTACTGACCCCAAAATTGTGAACAGTTTATGCAGAAAAAACATTAACCTAGATTAATAAATGCTGTAAAAGTGCTTTTAATATTTTAGTTCATGTTACCTAATTGAATCTTATGTTGAAAAGTGTTACCACTTTCTTATAGCTACTATTATTTCATTCCCTTGTGTCGCTGCTGCAAACACCTCAATTTCCTCCAAGGGGTCAATAACGTCTTATCTTATCTAAAACAACTATGTTAGATATTAAAAAGAGGTTTAAAAATGACTTTCCTAAGGAAATTGCTTGCCCGGTCCCTTAAGAATGAACTTAACCATGACTTGACTTAAGCGTGTGCAACGATTTTAAACATTTTGGTGAACTTACAGTGGACACAACTGCAACAAAACTAGATTTCTAAAAACAACTGCATGAATCAAAGCAGTCTCCATCTGATTCCTTCTGCCATTCCAGACATAATAAGGTGTTCTTAAGCCGACCGCACTGTCACATGTAAGCAAACAGAACGTCCAGAAAGACAATTATATAAGTAGTTTTAGACTGGAATGTGATAATGCATTAATTAAGGTCAATTTTATACAAACCTTCTTCAGCTGAATGGCCGTGACGCTGCTTGAGCATGGCACAGGGGAAATCTCTGAGAATCCACTGTCCAGCCTCTCCTCAGCCTCCTCTCTCTTGTAGCGTGGCGTTCCAGGCGCTTTCTCCTTCCGGCACCCTTTGGGGGTTTTTCGAGTCTGTATGGGAGCCTGGAAGTTGAGGGGGCTGTAGGGATCTGCTGAGCAGCTAAAAGAATTCCACAATCTCCGATTCTCCTCCTCATCCATCTCACAGGCATCTTCACTGGACTCATTCTCTGAGAGTGAGGGCGACGATGGAGGAGGCGAAAGCAGGGAGGACATATGCGCTGGCGGAGACTCTGAGACCAAAGAGTCTGTTGTCACAGGGCTTGGCTTGGCGGCAGTCCTTATGGGAGCTGTGAAGTTCCTCGGGTTATAAGGATCCCCGTTTTGGCATAGAGAATTCCACAGCCTCTCAGTCTCAGAGTCGGCCTCCTCTCCATCCGAATCCTCTTCGGATTCATCATCGCTGTCATCTAGGTCCTCAGAATCTGAGAAGTGGGATGAGCCTTCACTGTCAAAGCCATCATCGTCATTACTGTCCCAATCGCCATCATCCTCTGACTCGGATTCGCCACTGCAAGGGCTGCCCATGATGTAGGCGATGACCTTGTTTTGACATTGAGAAGTGGCCAAAAAGGGCACATTTTCAGCAGCTGGAACAGTTTCTGCTTTCTTTTCAGAGTCCTCTTCCTCTCTTTCCTTAATTTCTTCCTCACAATTGACAGGTTCACTATGAAACTCGCTCCCTGTAGTGTTAGTATGAGATGAGCCCTCCTCGGAGGCAACAGGGCTGGCTGTTTCTGACACCTCTTGTTCCTTGGAAAGCAGATTCATGTGAAGCTTACTATTTGAGTGTTCTTCCTCCAAACTGGAGTAGCCATTATCTTGATCTGGAGTCAGAACTGCCACCTCATTGTAGGCTCTACTACAAACTAGCAGTTGCTGCTCAACATCTAGAGGAAGCTTGTAGGAGTTTGGGAGGGATTCTGGTTTGGACAGGCTTGCATTGTGGGTCAGATCTTTGGAGCACAAGGGTCCAGCGCTTTCGTTGTGCATTGATCGCACATCATCGCTACAGACACACAATTCGGTCGTCACGGCAACGGCCGCCCGCGAGCGGCTTTGACAATAGCCGATACTGTGATGTTCTCCACAATGCTGCCAGCTCGTATCAGTCTCTTTTCTGCTCTGTGCTACGTTTAGCAGCCAGTTTGGAGGTCTGTCGTCGGCATCCCAAAATCCACCCCACCACCAGCTGTTAGTGCTCCGCACGGACAGCATATCCGGGCACAAATCGCATCCGCTTTCCGGTTTGGCGCGCTCACCGCCCGCGCGCCTTTTTTCCAGCGCGTTCTGCAACACCTGGCTGATTAAGTTTCTCGCCGTTCCGAGGTATCCAGCCGACGCTTGCTTTTGAAGACTGGAATCTTTCTGGGAAGCGCTCTGAATTCCTAGTTCACTCAACGATTCGTGCGTAAACCAGGAAGGAGTCCCCGGGGCTCTGGAGGACGCGCCCGACGGGTTTTCATGCTGGCACTGGAGATATGCAACATTCAGAGGGGTCAGAGAGTTCCCAATATCTAGATTTGACTTCATTTCAAATGCTGTTTGCGTTCTTGCGGGGAAATACCTCTGCAGGAGAGACCACGCAGGCCTGGAAACTACAGAGAACACGTTTATCCACGAGCTGTCAGCGCGGGACCGCGTGTCCCCTTGAGAAAAGTGTCCATGTGTGCTCATACTTGTGAAAAAATATGAAATGTGTTGAACTAAATTACATAAACTGAACAAAAAACAGAATAAGCTGTTAACTAGTTACTTCCTTTATAAGCGGCTGCACGTTAAACACTGTTTAGACTTAATTTGCTTAAAAGTGCTCGAGTTTAGAATGTTAGATTTAAATGTCTCTGAATGTCTCTAATATACAGAACAGTTTTTATTACAACCCAAACATGGCCTTATAAGGCTTAGCTGGCTAACGCAGCTAGTAACGTTACCAAGCTTAATGTATGGCTAAATGTTAGCTACAAAAAACGTAAAACGCTCCGTTTCTCATTCCCTTCAGACCTTAATACCATCCATGAGTACAGATAAATATTCTCCGGGGGAAATGAAATTGTCCATGTCGTTTAGGCTGCGTTGAGTACGACCCGGCTCGCGCAAATAGCTTCAGCGTCCATATTGACCGCAGTGTTAACGCCAATTGTGCTGTCTTGAGGAAAACAACACCACTTATTTCTGTTTGAAGGGACTGTAGAAACAGCAGAAGGAAAGGAAAGGCATTTTGAGGTGGTGTAAGAGTGAGATAGGCTGGTATACTCCAAATGAAAGCTTGAAACAAAAGCCATTTTGACGTCTGAAGGGAAGCGAGCGTCGGTTCTTCAACTGTTAGTCTAACGTTAGTCACCTCAATCGAGCCCAGCTGCCGCGTTTTTCGGAAGAAAATACTGTAAGTTGAAGGAGAAAAAACGGCTGTATCATCAAAATCGAGTTAAATCTGTCTCTTTCTATTTAGGGAAAAAAGCGGTTTCACTTTTTGCGGACACATAAGCCAGTCGTTATTAAAGCAATATTACAAGAGCAAGAGTTGTCTTTGCTTCCTGCTTTCTGGTAAGAGAATGAAGCATATAACTGCAACAGTTTATCTCAAAATTCTGCCTTTTTTCACAATTCTGAGTTTATATCCCACAGTCTGGACTTTTTTCCCCCTCACATTTCTAATTGCAATTTGCAAGATACAAAATGTAGATTTTTTTTTTCAGAATTGCAAGTTTGTAATTTTAATTTCATGATGGAAATAAAGCTTCCATTAGAAACCCTTCTCCGAGGAGCCATGGAGCGAAACTCCATGCCTAACTCTGATCTAATTAATAGATCTGTACTCTATTTACTCTAGTCTATTTGAAAAAGCATTTCCCCCCCTCAATTTCAATTGTGGTTGCGGACACATAAGCCAGTCTTTATTAAAGCAATATTACAAGAGCAAGAGTTGTCTTTGCTTCCTGCTTTCTGGTAAGAGAATGAAGCATATAACTGCAACAGTTTATCTCAAAATTCTGCCTTTTCACAATTCTGAGTTTATATCCCACAGTCTGGACTTTTTTCCCCTCACATTTCTAATTGCAATTTGCAAGATACAAAATGTAGATTTTTTTTTTTCAGAATTGCAAGTTTGTAATTTTAATTTCATGATGGAAATAAAGCTTCCATTAGAAACCCTTCTCCGAGGAGCCATGGAGCGAAAGAAAAAAAAACCAAATGCCTAACTCTGATCTAATTAATAGATCTGTACTCTATTTACTCTAATTTTCCTATCAATTTTACGTGAAAAATAGCTGAATTTTATTCCCGGGTTGTCCTAATTAAACTTGCTCTCAGCGGAATGTTTTAATTTGATACATTAACATGGATGAATGAGGCATTTATGTCATCATAATTCTCTAGAGGAGTATCAGAACAATGAGTAATGTGGAAGAACATGGACTGTTCAGACAGCCAATTAAAGCTTTTATGATAAACCCCAGTCTAATGTAATTCTTACTTCAGTATGATGACCGACCGCCAAAACAGTATATGAGATAAAGTCAATGGTGTCGCAGTAAAGCGGACTGTTGTGGTCAGTCGTGAACAACTGAGATTTACAAATAAATACATCTAAAAAAATGGAAGCAGTGTGAATGTACATCTATACAGGACTAGTGTTTTGCACAAGTTTCATCATTTGGCACCGATCATTGCACCATCTTTGTAGAGGTTTATGTGATCCAATAAAGGCAAACGTAGCCAAGGTAAAAAAACAACAACTCACTCACAGCATCAAGTCAGTTTCCCTGTGCATTTATTAAGTGCAAATAAAGTTTAAAAACATGGTTTGAAATCAGAAGAAATGCATTAAACCTTCGGTCTAGAAATTAATAAAATGGATAAAGCCCATTTATAATCCATAAGTCACATCAAAATTATATTCTCAGCATTTACAGTATTGCAACCCTATTGATTTTACTCGCATCCTCTTTATTTATTAAAATAAGGGTCACAGATGTTATAAAAGTACTATACCTTTAAATCCAAACTTCTGCATACACACACAAACTTTTTTTTTTCTAACACTCAGTTTTGCATTATGGGTTGGCATGCAATCATACAATAATTTCCCATTAGGTTAAACATCACACAATAGTGCCCTTTGGAGGGGAAAAAAAATTTTATGATAAACCCCAGTCTAATGTAATTCTTACTTCAGTATGATGACCGACCGCCAAAACAGTATATGAGATAAAGTCAATGGTGTCGCAGTAAAGCGGACTGTTGTGGTCAGTCGTGAACAACTGAGATTTACAAATAAATACATCTAAAAAAATGGAAGCAGTGTGAATGTACATCTATACAGGACTAGTGTTTTGCACAAGTTTCATCATTTGGCACCGATCATTGCACCATCTTTGTAGAGGTTTATGTGATCCAATAAAGGCAAACGTAGCCAAGGTAAAAAAACAACAACAACTCACTCACAGCATCAAGTCAGTTTCCCTGTGCATTTATTAAGTGCAAATAAAGTTTAAAAACATGGTTTGAAATCAGAAGAAATGCATTAAACCTTCGGTCTAGAAATTAATAAAATGGATAAAGCCCATTTATATTCCATAAGTCACATCAAATTATATTCTCAGCATTTACAGTATTGCAACCCTATTGATTTTACTCGCATCCTCTTTATTAAAATAAGGGTCACTGATGTTATAAAAGTACTATACCTTTAAATCCAAACTTCTGCATACACACAAACTTTTTTTTTTCTAACACTCAGTTTTGCATTATGGGTTGGCATGCAATCATACAATCATTTCCCATTAGGTTAAACATCACACAATAGTGCCCTTTGGAGGGAAAAAAAACCCCTACACAACCATTTGTCATTTGAAAGAAAGTAAGTTCAATGCTTTAGAAAATGTATTTCATATCTGAAATGGAGCTGGTTTGTTTGGTTAGAAAAAGCTACAGAACAGGGACTGCTTTGACCTGGATAATCATACCTAAGTTTGCTTAAGGCTACTGGATTGTTAGAGCACCTCGACATACAGGGTTGCACTTTTGGCTTGTAGGTTATTTTTGTAACACACAAACATCAATGCCACTTGGTTAAATTAGACAATTTTATGCAAATAAGATCAAATATAATTTAAAGGGGTCATCGGATGCTCATTTTGAGCATTTTGCATGCTCATTTTGCTCAAGTTCAAGTTGATATGATTCTTTAGGGTCTTAATTAAAAGTCTAAAACATACTTTGGTTAAAATTTCTCAATGTTAGCGTAAAAAACACCTTTTTAAACCTGTCAAAATCAGCTGTTTATATTAAGCCATTATAGTCCATGTTGCTTTAAATGTCAATGAGCTCTGCTGGCCCCGCCCCTCTCTTCCGAGCTGCTCTCAGAGACTGTTTACAGTTACTTTAGCCGCATTCATTGTGAAACTTGCTACTTAGTGCATTATTAGGAAAAGTGATTTGCAAAGATTCATAAAAAAAACGTTATACTCACTTCTTCTGTAGATGAGGCTGGATCACGAATGATTGGAGCGAACAGATGCATTTAGGCTTATCGGGAGTGGCGCATTCACTTCAAAGCGAAAGTAACGTTAATCCTCTGTCTTCAGCAGCTCAGATGTCGTGAGTAAATGGCGATTGGTATATTCATTTACACAACCATTTGTCATTTGAAAGAAAGTAAGTTCAATGCTTTAGAAAATGTATTTCATATCTGAAATGGAGCTGGTTTGTTTGGTTAGAAAAAGCTACAGAACAGGGACTGCTTTGACCTGGATAATCATACCTAAGTTTGCTTAAGGCTACTGGATTGTTAGAGCACCTCGACATACAGGGTTGCACTTTTGGCTTGTAGGTTATTTTTGTAACACACAAACATCAATGCCACTTGGTTAAATTAGACAATTTTATGCAAATAAGATCAAATATAATTTAAAGGGGTCATCGGATGCTCATTTTGCACAAGTTATGATTCTTTAAGGTCTTAATTAAAAGTCTAAAACATACTTTGGTTAAAATTTCTCAATGTTAGCGTAAAAAACACCTTGGGTCTAAGGTCAACTATCGTGGGAGGGGCCTGTACAGAACTACGTCATTCTGACAGGAATCTCAGAACAGCCTGGTTTGATAAAAGGGGATTTTAAAATAGGGATTAAAAAAAAAAACACTGGATGGATTTTTATAATTATAGGATGGATGTGTACACACACTTCCAACATACATTTATGTTCAAACAACTTGAAAAGTGAATTTTGCATCCGATGACCCCTTTAATGAAATTTCCAATTACTTAATTTCCCTTCTAAACGTTTCTATGAGCTATAAGGTTGTTCTCAAAATCAAACTGAGAGCAAAGTAAAGCAAATCCAAATGCGATATCTTTAAGCATAAGTTGGGAAGAAGAAAAAAACCTCCTGTGGTATATTTAGCATTTAATTTACATGCGGTTTTACATACAAATGTGGAATGGAAATTGACCTAACTACAGTCTAAAGCTTTCATTTCACTCCCCCTTTAACACACACACACACAAAAATTAACCAATAAAACTTGGAAAAACGTGAGGTCAATGCACTTGACAAACAAATGCAAAAATGCAATATTTATCCAGTAGCAAATATCACAGCATGCAAAACAACTATTTCCAAACAGAAATTTCCTTGTGTGCAGGTTATGCTTATATCAACAAGGCAAAATCATTTACCCTGAAGTCAAGTCCCTTCAAAAGCCTTTTCTGCATATAAAGTTGTGCCCCATCATTTTGGAAAGAAACAAATCTTAGAGGTTTATGCAAAGAAATTAATATTCCTGGTTTGGAGCTGGATTTAGTGTGGGCAGGCTTGCAAGGTACACTAAAGGTGGATCAAGTAAATAACGTAATTGGATTTCCAGAGCTCAGACTGACAGGACATGAACCTGTTGAACAGAGACCTTTATCACAAATCAGATAGCGTGACCTGCGACAGAGGAAGTAGCTGCCACAAAGCAGCTTTTACTCATGATGACTTAATATTTAACTAGTTGTGATAAACTATCAGGGAGTGAAATATGGATTAGTTTTGTACACTATTTTTTTTGGACCCCATGTTATAAAACCCCTGCAGGCTTATTACACTAGTTAAAGATAAGACTCTGACCAAGTACTGGTTTTGTCACTTAGTCACAGACAAGGTCACATTTACTGCAGCTGATTGGCCCATAGACAATTTCTTTACACTACCTCATGATGATGTGATGGCAGGCTGAACTGCATGACCTTTGAATCCATTACATACAAAAACATGTGTAAGTAGAGTGATTCATAAGAAGTGTATGTGGGTGTGTCTAAGACAAATAAGGAAATGAAGCATACCTGCCGGTTTGTTATGGAGTGCATTAACAACAGTTCCTACACTTCCTGCTCGCTCGTCTCTTGGTAGAGGGTGAAAGAATGTGTAGATCAGATCACACTGAAAGAGGAGAGGGTAACATTAACTCATAAACAGGCACTAAAATAAGCAGGTGTACAGTCACAGTAATAGTATGGATGCCATGCGATCTGGTTGCATTCTTAAGATGTACAGCACAGAACAGAAAACGTGAAAGCGTTCATGGTTTGGCAGCTGGTAGTGCCAGTCCTGCCTCAGTACTGATATAGGCCTGTGGGTGGACTGTTTACAGACAACATGTGTCTGTTTTCATAGAACACAGACCGTTTCCAAGAAACATGCCAGGCAAACTGAAACCACTCACATTAAAGGGATAGTTCTGTGTCAGCTGCGTCACACTGATATGCTGTTTTTGTTCATATCAAATCACAACAACGTAGGAAACAGATCCGGCGTGACGCAGCTGACATCGAACAGCATACGTTGTTTACGTCCAGCTGATATTCTCCAAAATGGCACCAGGGTGATGCGGAGGAGACAAATTGTTGAATAAAGCGTTTTTTTTTTTCTTTTGCACACAAAAAGTATTCTCGTAGCTTCTTAATATTACGGTTGATCCCCTGATGTCACATTGAATATTTTACCGATCTCCTTGCTACGTTTCTGGACTTGCGAACATTTCAGTTGCGTTGCTGTCTATGGGAGGGTCAAACAGCTCCCAGATTTCATCAAAAATATCTTAATTTGTGTTCCGAAGATGAACGAAGGTCTTACGGGTTTGAAACGACATGAGGGTGAGTAATTAATGACAGAATTTTAATTTTTGGGTGAACTAACCCTTTAATTACTGTAAGCTGTACACATTTTATTGACTATTATAATTATTCAAAAAATAAAATAGCGGTGGTGTAGTTACGGAAATAAGCTTGCATTTCACATTATAAAAGTTAACTTTCATTTTCAACTGCACTACTGTTGTTAAGTTTGGGATCAGTAAGATTTTTAGATTAGAATAATTTCTGAAGGATCACGTGACACTGAAGACTGGAGTAATGGCTGCAGAAAATTCAACTTTGCCATCAAATTAAATTAAATTTTAAAATATATTAAAAATAAATAAAAAGTTATTAAAGATTACGTTTTTTACTGTATTTTTTTGTCAAATAAATGCAGCCTTGGTGAGCACGAAAAATACCTTTCAACTGTACCAACCTCAAACGTTTGAGCTGTAGTGTACATGGATTATGAGAGGAAGAATTATAAAATATAAAAACTAATGCGGGGTCAAAGGTTACCTGTGCCACCTCTTGAGCAGCATGGATCAAATGCCAAACATATCCATTTAGCTCCTCTTTCCTCCTATCTGCAAGGGCCTCTCCTCGAGACCGACCAATCACAAAGCGGCTGGGGAAGCTGTGGGAACATTACATCGAGAGGGGTGTGTAATAACAAACAAACATGTGTACATGTGACTTATTTATTGCCACTCAGCCATTACTACAAAATACATCCCGAAGGAGTGATCAGGGTCCTGTAGGGGTTTATTTTACAATTACTGGCTGGTTGAACATTACGTTGCTTAATACACTGAAATGAACAGTACTGAGAAGAAATGTACAATGACCAGCTTTCATTACTTATCTTTTACTGATTTCAGACCAAATATACCCACTGATAACAGAAACCTGCAGTAGTTTCCACTACAGATTTTAAATCATTTAAAGGGATAGTTCACCCCAAAATTAAAAATTCTGACATCACGCTCAAGCTGTTCCAAACCAGTATGAATTTATTTCTTCTGTTGAACACAAGATAAGATATCTTGAAAAATGTGGGTAACCAAACAGTTTCCGCTCTCATTGACTTCCAAATAATTATTATTTTTTGGTCCATGCTATGAAAGTCAATGGGGAACAGCAACTGTTTGGCTACCCACATTCTTCAAAATATCTTGCTTTATGCTCAACAGAAGAAAGAAACTCATACAGATTTGGAACAACTTGAGGGTGAGTAAATGACAATTTTCATTTCTGGGTGTATGATGTTTTGTGTGTTCAGTGAGCTTTTGATTTCATAATTCATATTTCTGTCAGGTTTTAACATTGTACCTGGGTAGTTTTGATGAAGGGAAGATGAGCTGCAGTTTACAATGAAGTTCATGGAACTCCTCAAATGTCCTCTGGACTAAAGTTGACCCCTGTTGACCTTCCCGCTCCACTTTCACAACATAAGACTGCATGAAGGGGAAAATATATTAACATTGAGATGCATTTAATTGGATTTGGGCTCAAATGCACTTTTAATGCAGTCGACTTACATAGCCTTTGCTTGGAGTATAGGTTTTGATGTGTCTGCAAACAAATAGGCTGCGAATGACACCATCACTCTTTAGAGTGTAGACACGGGGAGCAAATGTCAGAACAGGACGCTCCTCAGAAGATGCAAATTTCATTTGGGCCAGGTTATGGATGAAGAAATTGAGCTTGGTAGCCACACTGCCGAGACTGGACTCGATTAGCCTAGAACGGGATAAGAATTAGACAAAGGCCAGAAGACAGATGGATTCAAAGGACAATGGCAATAACATAAGTGGTCGCTAAGGGGTGCAGACTTGGTTATTAGGCAATTGCTAGGATGTTCTTAGTGGTTGCAAGGTAATTGCTAAAGTGTTCCTGCTGGTTTTTAGGTGCTTGTTTATTGGCACCAAGGGCACAACTCTACTATTTCACTAAATCTACAGACACCAAGAGCAAAGGGAACAAAGTCTCCATGTTCTCACCTGGTGAAGTGCATGGTGGCATCTGCTTCTGATTCATGTGGCCTCAGAGCATCATAAACATATTTCAGATCATCCACATCAGACAACTCTGGTATCCCACTGGAGAGCATCTGCACACAAACACACAGGGTTACAATGTTAGAGCAGAAGAACACAATGCAATTCAAATAAGCATTCAAATAACAGGCAAACAAAAAAGCAAGCCAGGAAATATTACTTAACCTCAACTCTGTAGATACATCCAAAAAGTACAAACTAAGAGAAGGTCTGGTGTTATCTGGGAACTCACCAGCCCAAGCAGGTTGAGAAAAAGATGTGCATGTTTCCTAATCAGATTGTAGGCTTCACAACACAAGTCCACAAAATCATGGAAACGGCTGGATGGCTTGTCACCTCCATTGATGACATACGCCATGTCAGACGTAAACACAAAAGGAGCTCGGTCCCTGTAAAAAAAAAGAAAAAGAAGGGTGGATTTAAATCTGTGATAACATTTCCTATCTACAGATCAGATCTGGTTTAGCTCAAAAACATTCCTTTGTTCCTTTGTGGACAAGCAATATGTAACAGAGGTTGTTGTGGGTTGTCTACATTGTTCTGAGAGACAATAGTTGCAGTGATCAAAATCTGGGGCAGAGGAATTTTTTTTTCATGTTCTTTTTGTGTACCTACCTTTTGATGTTGCCAAACATCTGTGCATGCCCCAGGAACTTGCCGAAGTCAATGTGAAACATGTGTCCGCTGGTCTTCAGCATGATGTTGTCATTGTGGCGGTCGCAGATTCCTAGAATGTATGTGGCCACACAACAACCAGCACACGAATAGATGAAGTTTTCCACCGCCTGTGAAAAAGCAAAACAAAACATCAAATCAACAGAATTAGTTTATAACTAACCACCTTGTGGCAGCAAAGGTATTACCCACCAAATCTGAAAACACATTTTCATATTATTAGGACATGCAAAATAAACATGATGCAATCCAGAGCAACTTAAGCAGTTATGGATAATTTTTACATGTCACAGCAAAAGACAGTTTGCACATACATATTGGTTTAGCAAATGCAAATGTAGTACGATGCTACAACAGAGCACAGCTGTACCTTTTCATACTCATCCTCAGTGGGGTTGTGTTTCTGCAGCCAATCTGCCAAAGGCCGGTCTTTGAAAGAACCAGTCACTCCATGCTCAACCTGGATCTTCCTCAGGGTTTCTGCATTGGGAATCATCTCCACCATGCCTAGACAAGGGCAAAAAAGTTTTATAAAATTACTTCCATTCACATCCTTAGAAAATCCCATTGTGTACAATCATATCACAGTTTAGATATTATCTATAATGTGGGGTATATACATATAAGGTAGGAAATTACCCCAAAAATTAATTCTGGGATGGTAAATACTGTAGTTAACAGAAGTTCTGACTTTGGAGGATGGGTGTTTACCTCTGCCTCGTCCAGTAGAGAAGCAGCGGAAGATGACCATCCTCATATCAAGTCCCTCCTGGATCCAGATCTTATTCATGATCCGAATGATCTGCAGCGTCAGCATGTCCTGCCTCAGGTCATCTCCAGACTGAGCGAGAAAACACATGAGCATAAACGACCAAGACAACATCTGAAAAACTGTTTCAATGCAGAACCACTGATCCATAATGCACACAGACATGAGAAGGCGGTACCTTAAAGATGACATTGACGTTGTCTCCCAGAGGATCCTGGTTCTGGAACGACAGCTTCAGGGGCACTGCATTAGAGTTGAAGTAGGAGCAAGACTACATGAAGAGAGAATGAGAGATGTGTTTTGGTTTTGATGTGTCAGCAAGAACAATACAATGACCTCCACATGCATGATATATAAAGACACAACCTGTACCTGTATGTTGATGCCCTTGATGAACAGGCCCGGGTTCAAGGGAAGTCGACAACTGCTGTTTATAGAGAAAAATTGTTTGACCTCCTCCAGCCCCTCCCGGAGAATAGCCTGAACATCAGACCAAAGACAAACCACGATTAATGTGCTGACCAGACAGTCTGGAGAACATTAAAATGCCCCTTAGGAATCAACAATCAGTCTTTGGCACAGACCTGTTCTTTCAAGCTAAAAATAGTTCGAGCATTACGGCCATCAACCAAATGAAAAATTTAGAAGCTGGCTCTTTTTAGCAAAATTTTTTTGTAGGTAATAATTGTTCTTATCTGAAAACCTCTAAGGCTTAATTTAAACTAGTCGCATGATCATGGGAGACATGTTAATACCACATGCATGATCCTGCGATCATGTGACCACTCGTGAGCCAATATTAAGGGGAGGCTCTACGATTGTCAACTTTTGCAACGTTCACTTGAATTAAACTAAAAGCTAAAACAGAAAAAATGTAAATCTGGAAGAAAAAAAAAGGCCATTAAATTACTATGGAGGCCGGTTTCTGCCACTGAATAAAAAAATTCACAATTCTGAATTTTTTTCCTCGCAAATGCCGCAAATGCGAGTTTTTATCTCACAATTGCCTTTTTTTCACAGAATTGAGACTCACAATTGTAAGATTAAAAGTCACAATTACCTTTTTTTAATATTTATTCAGCGGCGGAAACGGGCTTCCATAAATGACAAACTAAAATGAAAAAGGGAAAAATTATATAAGTAAAAGCTCATTCAAAACTAGGCCTGGGTGATAAAACGGTATCGATATTTATCACCGATACACCTTCTTCAATAACGATATAAAAAAATGTTCAATATAGTGCACGATATAGGCACATGCTATGAGTGACGCAGACAGCACACACAAACACGAACACATGCTGAATTGAGTGCTGTGCCTGCCTGTGATGAGGAGATTGTGAATAAAAAAAATTAATATTAGTCGAATTTAAAATAAACATTTGCATTTGAATGTTAGGAGTGCGTCAGGGAGCGCCATCAGTGGCGCACAAGTACGTTCTGACCGACGTTCCAGGGCGAGAACTATAGCCTCCTAAGCGCCTGCGGTCCTTTCTCTTAAACATTGACTGTATAGCTGATGTGTGCGAGCTGATGAGCAAAGCACACTGAGTGCTCACTTAGCACATGCATCATTCGGATTAAAACTAAATCGTAAAAATAAGACCATTTATAGGGGCATTCACTATAAACATCATTTATTTTAAACCTTAGGCATACACGACTTTCTGGCGAAAGTGAATCTAGCAGCTTGTGTGAAATGCGCTAGGCTGTACAATTCTGCATCAGTACAAATGCGTGTACGCGTTGCGCGTGTTTTGCTTGCTTGAGTGTTTCTGCATTATATGAGTGGCTTTGGAATATAAATCGCAGCACGTTTCAGATGAAAAAAAAACACGACTTCTATTTCTGAAAATATCACAGTTAGGAGATTTATAACGAGTGGTTCCCTGCATTATTACAGCAAAGCGCATGATTACAGTACTAAGCCGCTGCAATGGAGCAGCTCTAATGCTATTAAATTAAAGATGATGTACCATAGAGCAAAAAATTAACAGTGAAAGTAACAAAAACTTGTAAAATACATTTTAATGGGCAT